GTTTGACAGATGGTGTGATCTCGAATATGTTAACATTTAAAGCATCTAGAAGTGTTTGAACAAATAGCACTTGGGGTTTATATACACGGGACCAATGCTCATTGAAAAAGACACCAGGCTCGGCAAAGAATACAAATTGTCCCCTTCTTAAAGTGGATTCAGAAAATTTTAAGTAGGTGTTTACTGTTAAAATACGAAATCTGCAAGCAAGGGTGGGTATCCTAGCTTCTTGATACAAAACATTGTTAGCTGTGAATTTTGGCACACCTAAACAACTACGTAGGGCTTCCCGCTCTAAGAGAATGATGGGGTTTATTTTGTATGCTGGTCCACCAGAGAATAGTACACATCCGAATTCAAGAATCGGACGAACGTACATGCGATAAATCATGATCATCGTATCTCTGCGAAGACCGGAACAAAGGCGGCCAAGCCTACTTATCATTCCAACAGCGCGTGTAGCCTTAATTTTAATATATTCAATGTGGTCACGCCAGCTCAGTTTTTGATCGTACAGTACACCCAGATATTTAATACAATTAACCTGGGGTATTATTTCTTGATGGTGCAGAAGAGAAATAGTAACTGGTGCGTCCAACGAAAAAACTATTATAGCACTTTTAGTTACGTTCAGGTTCATATGAATTTTCTGAAACCAGGTTTCCAATGTTGCCAAATAACACTGTAAAGTCGAATGTAGTGAATAAATATCGTTGTCAGATGCAAAGAACGCGATATCATCTGCATATACATATACGTGTACCTTATCACTCTGTGGTATTGAACTAACAAAATGTTAAATAGCACAGACGATAGAACAGAGCCTTGAGGAACACCTCTCGTTTGGCTATACTTCGGCGTGGAAACACCTCGTTGGAAGCAATAAAATTTTCTGTCTTTTAAAAATTCGTATATCCAATTAGTTATGTACTGCGGGAACGTAAGTTCTTTTAGGACATTGATAAGAATAGCATGTTCAACACTGTCATATGCCTTGGCTAAATCAAGGGTTACTAGGGCTGCATATTGTCGTCTGTGCCGAGCAAGCTTTATACGAGCCTCTAAATCAACATGCGCCCACCATATAGAGTAACCTGGTCTAAATCCAATCTGGCACGCACTGAGTATCGCATTATCTGTTATGAACTTCGTAACTCTAATGTAAAGTATTCTTTCTATTAACTTAACTACGTGTGATGTTGAAGCGATTGGCCTAATGTTATCTATCTGCATTCCTAGTCCCTGTTTTTTAAGAAGCGGTATTATTTTTGCAAGTCTCCAGTCAGGAGGTATCCAACTATTTTCAAGTGAATAGTTGACAACGTTAAGGAGGTCTTCAGGAGAGATGTCGAATAATATTTTTAACATTTATGAAGTGACGCCATCTGGTCCAGGACCTGTGTTTGGCAGAATACGAACGACGTGCGCAAGTTCATCCCTACTTACTTCAATAAAATCATTTCCGAATGACGGTTTTGCACACTTTATTTTGATTTGTGATGTAAATCTCTTCTCAAATTCTATTGCAATTTCCGTTAATGTATCTTCCAAATCAGTTGGAGAAAAAATAACTGAGTCAATATTTACGTGTGCTGTAATAGCTTTACGATTACGGAGAAATCTGAATAGAGCTTTCTTGTTGCCACTCTTGGATAAGTAGCTGTACCGTTTTTCTTCATAATCGTCTTTCGCTAATGAAACTGTTCTCCTAAAGGTAGCTTTAGCAAATAAATAATTTCTCCAATTAGTCGGACATTGGTTGGTGAGGAGTTTTTTCCATGCACCGTTGTGGCGTCTATAATCTCTGGCGCAATCCGCATTCCACCAGGCAGATATGAATTTTTCCTTTGTTGAAGATATAGTGAACTGTGATTTTTTAATTGTACACTTTAGGGTGGAACAAAGGCTCATAGCTTTCATACTTGCTTCCATATTGGGCAAGGAAGACAGCGTTGACTGTAAGTTCTTTTTAAGTTTAGAGTAGTTTACAAAACTTTGCACCTGGCGATCTACCGTCACTAAAGGAATGCTGACTTCAAATACCAGGGGGCAGTGATAACTACTTGTAGCAGTATCAAGAACAGTCCAAGACGATATTGTCACACTTGAGCTAGCAAATGTCAAATCTAAGACGGACCTCGAATTACATCGAACGAATGTCGGAACTCTGGAGTTCCAACAAATAAGGTTATTCCGATTAGTCCAGTCCCACAACCGTTTTCCTGATGAATCAGTGCGGAATCCCCAAGAAACGTGATGGGAATTGAAGTCTCCCGCAAATAGCATACTGTTTCTGCAAAAACTCGCAGTCACGTCAAGGGCTCTTTCATCTTGTATTCCAGCCGGAAAGTAGTTGTTGACTATAGATAGTGGCGCGCATCCAGGAAAGTGAATTTCCAGAACCAATGCTTCATAATCGTGTGATATTTGTTGGTAAACTGTGTGTGCTTTATGGCAAATTTCGGATGAAATGAAAAACCTTAATCCTCCACCACGTGAGTCTCGGTTCAGTCGAAAGCACTGATAGTCTTTTAGATAGAAGTTTTGATCAGCAGACAGCCAAGTTTCTTGTAAAATTATGACGTCTGGAGATTGTTGAGAAATTAGGTATAATAAGTTTGTAGTTGCAGAGAGAATTGAACGGCAGTTCCACTGAAGTTCTCTAAGGTACCCTATGATGATAAGCAAGCAGTACCAACTGCTTGATCTAAGATACTATCTTTTAAGAAGTCCGCTTTAGTCCTAGGTTCCTTCACACTCTTTTTTGTTTTTGGATGAGAAGAATTATTAAGTTTGCTAGTGGGTGATCTGGTGCGTTTCAAAAGGCGAGCATCCATATCTACATCCCGATTAATTATTGATTCTGAATCAGATATACCTTCCTGCTCAGTTGTGTTAGGACTGGAAAGCATTGCCTCATTATTGATACAGACATCTGATTGATGTTCGGCAGGTTTACTAATTGAGGCAATAGGAGGTTGGATACGCTTAGTTATTCGATCAGATGCACCCGACATCTGTGAATCCATAATACTATTGAGTGAGTCGGGCAGATTGAGTAAAATTTTTTCTAATACTTTTTCTACGGCCTTTTCTACCATAGCAGAAATGGACTGAGAAAGTGATGCATCCGTAGAAAGAGGTGGACGAGCTGCTATACCGGCATAACCCTGACTCCTGCTTTCAATTTCTGCAATTGCTTCTCTACGAGAGCATCGTATCCTTTCAATGATTTCAATCACCTGAAGTCCCTTTGATCTTGCAGGGCAGTTAGGATCGTCTGCAGCGTGATTTGCCTTGCACAAACAGCATGTCTTATTGTCTGATTGACACTCAGCAGTACTATGACCAGCCCCGTATATGGCTCCGCATATGCGGCATCGAGTCTCCGATCGACAACCTTTAGTACTGTGTCCAAAGCGCCAACATTTAGCACATTGCAGCGGACGGGGAGCCAAAGCTTCGACCTTATAGATAAGCGGCCATGCCTTGATCTCCGAAGGGCGATCTGTTCCAGCGAATGTGGCAATTACAGTTTCAGTGGGAACTTTCTGTTGGTTTTCCTGTTTGGTACAGCGGTAAACAGAAATAACACCTGCCGGGGAAAAGATGTCCAAGACTTCTGCTGGGCTTAGACTTGCGTCTACCCCCCGAACCAATCCTTTGCAGCAAGCTAGATGAGGTGGGATAAAAGAGCTCACCGGATGTGATGCAAAAGTAGTGCACTTCAGAAGGTCTTGGATGCAGGCCTTGTCTGGTGAGCAGCATAGTATCCCCCCGCGTCCAAACTGACGAACCTCTGTTATCAGTAGAGAGTGGGGAGTGATCGCACGAAGTTCCGTTTGAATTGTCTTGGGGTTTTTCATGCGGATGAACCCACCGGTGGTCGGCACCAAAGCGACAGGAACGCTACGGGTTCCATTGCGGAGAAACAACTCCAGAGGAAGATCTTGAGGGGGAACAGAGGCTGACCAGAGGGCAGGCCTCTGACCCGGAGAAGAAACAGACATGAAATAAGAAGAAGTTACACTTATCAATGCACTAAAACAGTTGCGGAACAAGAGGTAGATCTAATAAAATAAAATAAAAGTAACCGCCGGCTACTTGACCGCAACCCTGAGGATGGAACAAGGAACGCAGGCGCAGGCACGAACGCAGTCCAGCAGCAGCAGCAGCAGCTCTCAGAGAAGGCTGCTAAGATTGTCGTCTTCTTCACTCTTCTGCGCTGCGCCTCTCGAGCAAATCCGCGTTCTTCGTTGTCGTCGCTGGGTGCACGTTAAAGAACCCCAGGAGGTCTAAATTTCCGGAGCCCTCCACTACGGCGTCTCTCATAATCATATGGTGGTTTTGGGACGTTAAACCCCACGTATCATCATCATCATCGTTGTCGTCGCTATCTCGCCGCTAAATGCAGCTATGCACGCGGCAATATATGTCGCCCACCAAACAATCGTTTTCTAAGCGTATTTTCTGCCGCCTGACTACGTTATTTCTGATTGTGTGCGATCCGTATATTGTTATTATTTGTGTCGATGTACAATTTGGAAATGAATTGGACCATGAACTGTGACACCTGAGAGGACGTTTTGATTGTAGGTATCAATGTTTCTTTGTGGTGTTGATTTTTTGTTATTTTCGTGGGTCATTCGCGATCATCTCTGCGTACAGTACTGCTACTTCTGTTTATGCTTTACTTTGTGCCATTGATGACTCTGTGGTTCTTTGATGTGTTTTCCAAAGCTGTCAATTCAGGGGCGCCCGCCTCGTCAAGCTGCTTCTCACGGTAGCTTTTTGCGGCCGCTCCATCCTTTTATGGAAGAGGGAAATGAAGATCGGATTTGATTTGATTTGATTTGTAATAGGAACGTAGTAATGTGAGTTGGATATCTAATGAGCCACGCAGTACTAACCTACAATCGTGACACTGTAAACTAGCATTGCATGTGTGGCACGAATAACAAAAAGTATAGGAATGTCTTCATTCCGTTGTCACACCGCAGGCCGGGTAACCATACCAGGGATTACCGTGTACTGCATGAGTAAGTACGCCACGCTGTCACTGGTGGATGGTCTTCGAAGAGAACTCGAGGATGAAGGCGTGGATGTTGCAGCCATCGAACCCACAGCATACAAGTGAGCACCCTTGTCTAAAGTGACTGTGTCTAAAACAACTTAACACCCTGAAAAAAAAAAGCATTTTGATGAATCCAGACACATTGAAGAAGAATGGCAATTTGGGCTAAATAGTTTGAATTCATGGTAATGAGGGCTGCAGCGTGAGCACGAATGTGCTAGAAGAAACAGACGAAAGTCGAGGCACGGAAAGCAAAGAGGACAACACGAGCGCTGGTGTCAGCGCTTGTGTTGTCCTCTTTGCTTTCCGTGCCTCGACTTTCGTCTGTTTCTTCTAGCACATTCGTGCTCGCGCTGCAGCCCTCATTGCCATGAATCCAGACACCCTTCTCAAGAGGTACTTCAAGTCATGCGAACGCCCTTATCTCTTAAAACCGAAAAAAATGAAGGCTAGCAGTCCGGGAAAATCAATTTGCAGCAGTATTGAAGAACGGACAACCCTACATATACACATTCATGCACACAAATACAATAAAGCAAAACACCACAGTTCCAGAGAACTCGCTCGACACTTACACTGACGATCTGGTCTGGAGAGCCATGATACATTGACATGCTATTTAGTGCTGGTTAGGATATTCCTGTTCACAACTAAGGAATTAACGTTCGCATAGTGATACCAGCGATTTTCGCCGTATTGTTTTCCGGAATATGAACATACTTATAGAATGCGTTTTAGTCCTTGGTAAGTGTGGAGTTAAGCATGAATCAGGCAAGTGTGTTCATATAAACTCAGAAAATAATCCATGTTTTTATAGTTAATGACTTTCAATGATGAACTGCCCGCTGACACATGAGCGCAGCTATTTGACGACTCATAACACGCTTAGTTCCTAAATAGTTTTCCAGGGAAAGCGTTGACCTTTACACAAGCCGAAATTCTATTCGTGGAAACAAAACAGCTTTGCACGTCATTTTTTTTGGAAAATATTGTTTTGGCGGAAAAATGCCCAGGGTTGTCGGAACCACTTTAAGAGTGCATTGTGGTTTAGAGCGTACAAAAAGAACGATATTGATCTAGGTAACAACCGCAACAATCTTGTTTACATAGCGCCACTATTTTATTTATTTGATGCAAGGGAAGATGTTGGCGCACAAATAGGGCGGTGGCTACGCCTTAGCTCTTGCGTGGATCGAGCGTGCAGCACAACAAATGAACACGTGAACGCACATATGTCACAAAAACTCACATCAAACACCGCCATCATCACATATAAAACAAAAGAACTGGAAAGCAATTAGTAATGTCTTTTGTCGTCATTGAGATGTGCGCAACGTGTCAGTCAACACGTCATGTAATAAGTATGATATAAAATTACATATTGTTGTATTCGCGTGGGAGCTAGTGACCAAATACTGCACCAGGGTGGCTAATTTCGCTTTTGTGAGGGAGCAGATTACTAGCTCCGGTCGCCAGTGAGGCCGCACCCAGGCCTTTTTTTTGCTATTTCATCATACCACGTACTTGTTTTATCCGTAGGGAAACCGTCCTGTAGCGGCATTCGAACCACTGACCTTTGCATACGAGGCCGATGCTTTACTTCTATGCCATCAGTGCATCACAGCAAGTGATAGGTGTGATCTTAAAGAAGAGAGCAGAGTAGGTCAGGGAACAACGGGTGTTAAGGACGTCACAGTTGAAGTTGACATGAAAGAAATAGAAATGGTTTGGGCACGTAGCACGTAGGTAGGAAATCAGCTGCTTATTAGGTATCATTGATTGGATTCCAAGCAAAAGGCAACCACGTGAGGGGAGGCCAATGTTAGGCGGGCCGATAAGGTCAAGAAGTTTCGCGCTACATTGTGCCAGCAGCAAGCACAGAACTGGGTTGTTAGCGGAACACTGCGTGAGGCCTTTGCCCTGCAGTGGGCGTATGTCAGGCTTATGATGATGAATAAGATATATTATAAATATCAATTTCATGTAATAGGCGATGTTATGATTTTGCTCGTATGGTCCTTTATTGCAGGACAAACATGCTCGAGAACGTGGGATGCCCCAAGTTTGTGGAGGCGGACCTCAAGCTTCTGCCCGACGAGGCGAGGAGCCTCATTCCAGAGGACAGCGTGAACCGCTGGGCCAAGTTCCTGGGAGGCATGTTCGACGTGCTCACTCGAGACGATCCCATGGAAGTCGTGGACCAGATGAGCTACGCCGTCAAGGACGTCAGGCCACGTCCCTGTTACCGGGCCATGACCTTCCAGGACAAGTTCCTAATTCTCTTCGTCAAGCTGTTTCCGGATGAAGTTGTGGACGTGTTCTACACAATATTTCGGGTGGCTGCCCAGTTTGCTAAGTAGAACAGCGCAGTGGCCGGTAGACCTTCTGTTCTGTGTTGTTAAAGTTATAAGATGCCCACTGTCTTGTGAGGTAGGGTTTCACTGCAAAACGCCTGCTAGAGAACAGGCAGTTGAGCGAGTTTGTGAAGACTCATCATTCAATGCAAAGCGCTAGACATGCACAAATATGAGACTGGAGCAACACAAGCGCATTGTGTCAACTGATTTATTAAAACAAGAACGATCGTTAAGTACATTGTTGCTGCAAGCACACCAGATTGTAACTAAACACGTGGTCGGATTGGGCCGGTCACGGGATGCACGCCCGTACAATCGCGTGTTTAGTTACCGCTAGTTCTGTTTGCGGTGATGTCTGTGTGTGTGTCGATCTAGTTTCTAGTGAACCAGTTGAGAGTTTGCACTCAAGTTGTTTCAGCGACTTCTCCGTCCTTTTGTAAAGTTGCGCATTGAAGGATGTAAAATGACCCCTACGCACCATTGTAAATAATTCGCTATGGTGTTCTACTGAACTCAAGGTCGTGGGTTTCATTTCCTGTAGCGGCGGCCACTTGCCGACGGTCGAGGAGTGCAGGAACGCGGCTTTAGTTGCGATGAGGGTACAAGAATCCCAAAGAGTTGCCATTTTTAGGACAGTCTCTTCAACTCAAGAAAATGACAGCCGCAGATAACGCGACTGTCATGTCTCCTGACGGCGCGAACACTACCTTAACGACTTGCACGAGTGGTCATTCGTTTATATTAAGGGTTTATATTAAGGGTTTATATTAAGGGTTTATATTAAGGGTTATATTAAGGGTATCAAATGTTTAGGTGAAACATGTCTATTGCTGTGGAGAGAGGTCACAATTTTTTTTTCGCATTTGCTTACTTGCAGGTCAAATAACCTATTCCAATTCGCCATTCAAAACTGCGACACGGCAGTCATGCCAAAGCAAGGTTATCGACGACACATCTTTAGCGCAATAACCTTATTATTTTTAGGATGTGCAGTTGAGGAGAAGTTCTTGTACTAGATGGTGTTTGCTTATCATCGTTGTGAATGGTGAACGCAAAAATACAAGTACACAGAGGCGCCTGTATTGTACGCCTCCATACCCTTGTACCTATGTCATGGAATGGAATGGGATAACAAAGAGCTTTTTTTTGTGTCCTGCGGAACACGAACGGGTCGCACAACTGGCTAAGAATTATCACATTTACGTGAAGTTGATTTCAGAACATTCCTTCGCACACACGCTTGCTTGTTCTTAATACCACGTGGGTTAGACCTCCGAGCAGTATCCATTCCCGCCGCGAGTAGGTTACGGCAAGAAGGATTCGTATGGATGGTGTGTTGACGCCGGCTGAAGCTTGCCTGGGCGCTATGGACCATAGAACACCCTGGCGGCACGACTCGTGTTGCTAGCCTTGGTCAAGCTGCCCTCGCAGATATGTACCGCCAGGAAAGGGTGATTTATTTCTCTAGACATGACGCCACTTCCACGATCAATACAGCAACTCCCCGCGGAAGGAGCTATTTTGATGCTATCAGCCTCTGAGGAGCATAAAAAATGGTGCATGGAAGGTAGTGGACTTGCCTAGGTAGTGGAAAAAAAAAACACATTGCGCCTGTTTTAGACTATACTTAGTGATGTTTTTTATCGCATGCGAAAAAAAAATCATATACTTGTATTTGTGCTTTAAGTGACGGACATCATCGCGCATAACTTGAATGTGCAGCGTGGTTTATGGACTTTAGAAATGTTTTTTATGGAGGGAAAGAGATACTGTTCAGCATTTTCCTGTGCTTTTATGTTGGCGAAACCCATCCTCCGTAGCATATGTACAAAGTCACATCATGTGATAATGAAAAAGTGCAATAAATTATTCAAACATCGAGTGTTCGCGTTTATGTTTTGTAGCGTGCCGCAAATTGGTTGAGCGGTCTGTTTCCGTACGCCCCGACATGTTAGAATTGAAGATATAGCCCTCAGAGCAATACCGAGTTTGTCCTGAGGGTATCCCGTAAGGGTCGTGTGAGGAAAAAAAAAAGAAGCCTTGAAAGGTGCTGCAAGCATCAACCACGATTGTGAGTTAGGTGAAAAAATGGTGAGATATTTAGAATACTTACAGTCTTGTGAAGAATAAAAGAAAAAAAAATGCATGAGGTGGGTAGGCAGACATTCTCATACCCTCCTTGGCAGCGGACCATAACGCTGCTTTGGGGCATCGTCTCTCAAGATGTATTTCAATAAAGTTCGACGCATCCGTGAACATAAACACTACTTGTACTCCTGTCGCCAAGCAACCCGTGGGAGCTTTCACCGGAAAAATATTTACGCACCGAAGAACAACACTTGCTAAACATTTGCTCCTCCCTGTTTTTTTTGTCTCTTCGTGGTTGCTCTTTATCCAAAAAAAAAAAAAATAACGTCAATAATTTTATATCAGGATTGGTCTTTGGTTTCTTGCACCGTATCTCATGACATGGTGGCAGAAGCATGGTGGCTTGTTCTCTTTATCCCAGCACCACACGACACTTAGCCGGACAGTTCTCGCCCGTACGTACAAGTAGGACCAATTAAATGCGCTATGGGCACACATCTATGTGTCTGCACAATGCTCAAGGCAACAGCGGAAGCCGGAACACTGCCTCGACTGTGACAGTGCCGTTCGTTTCCTGGAGATCCTTTGGATCTTTTAGCTTTTCCTGGAGATCCCTTGGATCTTTTAGCTTTTCTGAAAGGAAGTGCGCAAGCGCGATGTAAAGTCTCAGCAGGACAGCTGCTTTGAAAACACCATTCATGGTCCCGGGGCTGTGAATGTGCGGAATGCACCGTTGTGCTCTTTTGTATCACAATGTGAGAAAGTGCTCGAAACTGCAAGTTGCACTTTCTAAACGACGAAGAGCCCTATAGGGGAAAGCAATGCTATAAATAACAAGACCGAATGACGTCACTCGGCGTATGCATTCATTATTAGTGTTACTTTATTTTTATTCATTTAATTTTTTTATATATTTCACTAAACAGATACTTATAAAACGTGTCTGCATAGGAGGTATTTTCTTTATGAGTGACACCATCTCTCGGGAGCGGTTATACGCGACAGTACACAAGAGCTACGAATGATTGATGCCTTCGTTGAAACTTTGAAACTATAGAAAATGAGAGTAAAAAAAAAAGAACCGCCAGGCCTGCGTGGCAATGCGCAGCACTTTCAGCGTGAATGTTCGAAGACAGGCCTTTCAGAGCCCCTTTTGAAGCTCTTTGGGTAACTATATGCATGCAAGCACAGTTGCAGGGTGCGCACTACGCCGTAAATCGTGGTGTAGCACACGGGCGTTCACTGTGCCATCTTTCGTCATTGTTTAGAGAAACCACCATACCCGTGGCACACTTGCAAGGAAATTTGTGCAATTTTTTGTGTTGTGGCTGAAAAAGAATGGTACCAGAACCTTTTGTAATCCCGGCAATCCCCCAGAGTGGGTATGCGCCACAGTTAATAGGGGCTGAAAAAACTAGCTTTTTTAAAGGGTTGAAGCATTCGACGACCCACTCTCTGCACAATTCACGTTGTGTGACACCTGGCTGTTCTTTTTGCGGTTGTAAAACGCGCTATTACTCGTAATTAAGCGATTCCTTTGCCCGACATCAAGCCTGCCTAAGGCCAGTTTTCAAAGGAGTCCCAAACACAGGTGTGGCTCGGTGGAAGAATGCAGGCCTGGCGCGCAGGGGACCCATGTGCAAGTCCCGCTGTGCTCTTAGTGTTTTTATTTGCTGAGTTTTACAGCGAAACTGTTATAAGCTGCACGTGACTCATGTTCTGATCTCATAACAGCTTTAGCTGTAAGAAAAAAAAACTACCAAAGAAGGAGACCAAATCTACGACCTCCACATTATAGTTTGTGGTGCCTTACCATTTGTGAAACACTAGCGTCTACGGTCGCGTCCATTTCAGTTTTGACCTATGTGTACGTGATTTAAGCCTGTTAGTGTCGCGAACGACGCTTCTGGCTATGGCGGCAAACTTGGAACGTTTTTTTTTCCCCAAACGTGTAGTCACATTGTGCATCATCCGTACAAACAAGCCGCTTACAACAAGTCCTAGTGGGCTTCCACAAGGCATCAAACAAAACAGTGTTTAGACCATTGCCATGCCGTAAACCAGAGAAGAAGAAGAGCCGATCCAGAAGCCTGACTTTTGTGGGCACAGCTACACAAAGCCTATAGGTAGTGATGTTATGGAAAGCACGTTGACATAAGTGTGAACACTTGTTATTTCCATTATTTGTACATATCAGTTGTATATATTCTATTGATGCACTGTATTATTGTTATGTCTGTGGCCAAATGCTGACCCAAGTGAGCGGGGCGAGCTGCCTAAATGTACATTTTTTCTCACTCCTCATGATCTGCGTTGCTCATGAAATAAACATGTCTCCTAATATGTTATATTTTATTACATTCTGTATGTTATGGCCATCCACATTTGCAAAGTTCTTAGTGTAATCGAATATACTTCATAGCCTGCATAGACCCTGCTACTAAATGGCTAAAGACCTCTGAGTGTGCACTTTTACTTAGTGAATTCTTGAACGAGTCTATAATAATAAGCCGTTTTTTAAGCACGTTTTATTACAGGTATCGATTCACGTGCTTAATAAGTATCATTTTGAAAAAAAAATCATTGGTCGTATGGGAGGTGAAATATGCTCTTTTTCTCGAAATTATACAGCCAAAGCATGTAGCATATGAATTGATACCTGTAATAACACATACTCAAAAAACAAGCCCAATAATAGAGTATTGAGCTTGTTTATCAAAGTACGTTTTATTGCAGGTATGAATTGGTGTGCTTTAAAAGTATCGTTGCAAAAAAAAGAACATTGTTACTGCAAAGAAAATACACTTCTTGACCATCAGGTGGCGCACTGTCAAGTTACCCCGCCACATGCAATGCGGAGTAAGGCGCACAATTCAAAGTACATTCGCCCTTAAATCTCCCGACTACCACATAGTCGTGGCTTTTATGCAGGTCGCATATCTATGTGGGCAAAACGCGAGGAGCTAGCATACTGGACGATGCCACTCAACGTTAAAGAACAACTGATAATAAAAAGTTACTGTATTATCCTACGATACGGCATGTCTCATAATAATATCGTAGACCGGGCGCGCAGTGCCTCAGAAATTATTACTATCTGCTCGTAATGCAATTGCCGCCAGCTCTTTTCTTCGCGACCATGGAGTGCTAAGCGATTCAAGCGCAGTAAGTGGCACAAATGCCAGCCCGGCTGTTTTTCACGCCGTCAGCAGGTGCCGGGTCATTGCCTTATGCGATTTCCTTGAGTTAGAACGGCCCTCACTTTCATCACATCATCATCCCATCACTGTATTTCCTTAAAGACCCCTCAAGGGGCTATTACATAAGGGGTAAGTATACAGTGTAGCCAGGTGACTTCACTCGCTAAGAAAGTTTGTTACTTTGTCCAAGAAGTTTGATGGATTAGTAATGGCCGCAATGGTGTGGGAAAGGCCATTCCAAGGCCGTCACGTACCAAACGCTGCCCCGCCGCAGCGGTCCAGCGGATGACGTACTCAGCTGTTGACCCACACGTCACGGGAACAAGTGCCGGCTGCGGCGGTTGCATTTTTGATTGAGGCGAAACTGCCGTGGGTCCATGAGCTCAGGTTCGAGTGCACGTTAAATAATCCCAGGTTGTCGAAATTTCCGGAGCCCTCCACTGCAGCGTCTCTCATAATCACATGGTGGTTTTCGGACGTTAAACCATACATATATGTCAATAATATACCAAATGCACCAGTTAGGTGTTCCCTGTGCCCACAGGTGACGCGAGAAGCAGCGTTAATCATCAAGCATGAATCACCGAGCGATGTAATTGTTTGGAGAAACAGTTATTTATCGATAGACGATTATGGCAATGAGCGAGATCAGTCTTTTCTAAACGCTACAACGAAATAAAGCCGACGAAGAATTAGGCCAATGAGAGCACGATGTATTAACTGCTATCTTCAACTGCAGTGTCGCAATTATAACGTGAATTGAAAGAATTCAATGTAAACAAAAATCGCCCTTTCGGCCTGTGGGGTTTGAACCCACCACCTTCGAATTACTCGCCCGTTGCTCTACTGATTGGCTTTCGACGGCAAGCACTTCCCTTCCGAAGTATTCTATCAGCGAGTCTGCACACGACAAGAATTTTATAAGCGGCTACTGATTACCGCTGCTGCTGGCGTGATACTTCCCGCCACTTTCGAGCACGAGAAATGCGATGCGGGTTAGTTGGTAGCACATCCTCAGCAAGCTTCAGTAGCACCCCACTGTGTCCATATGTGCCTTCATTTTGTCCTCTCTTTTACGTGCACTACAAGGAAACATACTGAAGACTTTGTAGCAATTACTGGAAGAAAGAGGCTTCTGGGCTGCATGCTTTCTTTGCCACGTTGCTATGGTGAGTCACTTGAATGCAATTTAAATTGAGCACTCTTTCACGTATACAACTTTTCAAAAATCTTGAACATGGTGAAAATGCCTTGAGGAAAATTTCACGCAGCCTTTGAGCTAAACGAAGCCTCATGGTTTTTGATGTCTACGCCTGGGACGACACAAAGGAAAAGCCACGTACCTTTTCTTCTTGTTTTTCTTCACAGTCGATTGTATTGGTTTCCCGCGATACCTTTCGGCAGCTAATGTGGTTTTGCATCGCCTCCAAGATAAAAAAACACTGCAACATTTGTGCACTTCACGTGGTTCTGCAGTGCTTCCGCAGTCGGCCCACCTGTCACCAAGCGACGATGTCACGTGATGGTGTAATCATGTAACGTCACGTTATGGAACGTAGTATTGACATCGTGATGACGTCACAAAGTATGGAGACTTCTGACGTCATAATGAGCCCACAAACTGTCTTGCATCTCTTGTGCTGACTCCGATGCCGTCTATGGTCTTCAACGTTTGATGAAGCATCTAATCCCTTTGACGTAGTGAATCGAGATGCACTTCATGCTCACGTCACAATTCGTTCGTGGTCTCTAATTCATCGAATACCGTTTCATTTCGCTGCCTCTAGAGACGTGCCCAAGCAAGCAGGACGTGACGGGACTAACTTAGATTGTCGCTTAACGGCGCTTAAACTTGCTTAAGTCGAAAGCAGCTTTCTTTACCACTACGACAAACAGAAATAGATAAGAAAGCAAGGGAGAAGATTTGCCTTGCAATCATCCTAAATTTCGTAACCATCACACAGGCAACGCGACAGCGAAAGTATACAGCTGCGAGATGCCGTAATGATAGTAAAGGAAACCTGGCGACTTTGTGCGGTGACCTCGGTTCATGCAAAATTTGTGTTTCTCAACAGCCAGCCCAAAGTGCCGGCGCTTCAAATGGAGGTCTGCCTATGCCTATGTCCTTTCTCATGTATCAATTCTAAAAAAACGACCAAAAAGCATTTACGACACAGACGTTCTGTTTGGTGTACTTTACTGGTAGGACACACGTGACTCTAGCTCTCTGAACATTGTCGATTGAAACAGTGATATTCGTACACCAAATGCCCACGATTACATCAGTGCCACTACCTTAATGCTCCAGCACTGATACCTTTTCTGAAGGCAAACGAGATCGTGTCGTATATATCAGCCGACACTGGCTTCGGTCGACTCCCTCGCAGAACGACACTGACTTGACTTAAAAGGGTCTAGTCGCGAAGTCTGCGTTGGTCGGCGACTGAGGATCAAAGCAGTACCCTTGTTCAGTGCGTTCTTCTCCGCAATCCAGAAATTCTTTTCTGCAATCCAGATATTTCATAAGGAACAACTGACCTATACGTGAGCACCTGGACTTGGCTGGACAGACGACGGAGCGCGATTGGTGGAATTGACGTGAGACGAGCAGATGCAATTTGCAGACATCCATTTAGGAATTTGTCTAGAATACTGATCTAAGGTCCAGAGCCCTAGAGCACTGGGTGCTTCACTTTGAAGGTAAGATTCGTTGGCTCGATATCAAGGAAACAATGCTGCGGACATTGCAATGCTATCCGAACGAGTTCTTTGAGGACGTCGTCCACTTAGCACTATATCAATGTCTGACCTTATTTTTCTTTATGAGTGCTTGCACCGACGATAATGTGGCTATATAAACAACTTGGTGATTCCGGTAACTATACAGTCATGAAATACGACTAATCCATTGATTCGGTTTTGTGCAATGGGGCCTGATTCGTCGGATATATGCCGCAATCGACAACGTACAACACTGCATACGTTCACTCAGAGCGCGAGTTTGGAGAGGAGTGTTGATGAACAGAGCAAAATAGATGCAGGGAATCGAGAAAGCGTTACAAAGTGAACAATTTAGTTGCGAGTGGTAGTACAGTTTTGTCCAGTACGTTTAATGCTAATCGCAATTGTTAGTTATGTATAATGCGTTTGAAATATTGTAACATCTTATAACACCGCTAACTACGACTTTTCTAAACTAAACGAAGTCCAAAACAGAGCACGTTAAGAAGGACTGAATTAGACTAGCAAACAAAGGAGTGGCGATAAGAGTGAACTTATTCCTACTTTTGGACGAGCAGCCATAAAACGAAAGCAGCTTTGCAACCTCGGCAATATATTTAGTAGCGTCACCCAAGAGTTGACTTCTGAATCTGCGGGTTTATCCTTATGTGTTGCAAGATTTTTTCAATGCAGAGAATTCAGAAATTCTGATTTTTAGTAAACTTTTGGTTTTCTTAATGAATATGGTTAAATGACGCCCGTTTCCGAGACATCATCTCTTGAAAAAAGGAAGCCAACAGCCCGAACTTGTAACACGTGTAGGCCATTAAGATGATTGATTGATTGATTGATATGTGGGGTTTAACGTCCGGAAACCACCATATGAATATGAGAGATGCCGTAGTGAAGGGCTCCAGAAATTTCGACCACCTGGAGTTCTTTAACGTGGAACCAATCTGAGCACACGTGCCTGCAACATTTCCGCTGTATATTGCCCCGCCGCGGTGGTGTAGTGGCTAAGGTACTCGGCTGCTGACCCGCAGATCGCGGGTTCGATTCCCGGCTTCGGCGGCTGCATTTCCGATGGAGGCGGAAATGTTGTAGGCCCGTGTACTCAGATTTGGCTGCACGTTAAAGAACCCCAGGTGGTCAAAATTTCCGGAGCCCTCCACTACGGCGTCTCTCATAATCAAATGGTGGTTTTGGGACGTTAAACCCCACAAATCAATCAACATTTCCGCCCCCATCAAAAATTCAGCTGCCGCAGCCGGAATTTGAACCGGCGACCTGCGGGTCAGCAGCCGAGTACTTTAGCCACTTGACCACCGCGGCGGAGCAGGCTACGAAGATGTCAAATAGGTAAAAGTTTACGTGGCTGATCATGAGAATGGCTTTAAAAGCGTAGAAGGAGCTAACTTGGTGGTAGAATGACAGTGAATGCCCTGTCAGGTCACGAAAATGTGTTTATCACAGCACCAGTGTTAACCACCATAGTAAAAGAGCGAACCAACACTCAAATGGAACTCTAAAACTTTACAGACATTCACCCCTGCTATGCACACTAAAAATGACCCTAATGGCTAGAACTATTAAGCTTTACTGATGCCCTGCTGCCATCATTGAAGCTGTGATCACTTTTATTGCTGAGGGAATTCTTTGATGAGGTATCCAAGAGAAGACATTGTGACCATGGTCGGGTGTGTGCATGAGTGTTTGTGCGTTTGTGTTCGTAACTGTATGGTAATTAAAAAAAAGAAACAGCTCTGACAAACCTGAGGGACTGTTTAGTGTTGGTGTGACAAGTCGATGCGAAAAAGGAATGCTGGGGGCATTCCTTTGTATTGTTAGCATGTTATAGACCACCAGACGCTACACCCGATTACATGATAAAACTAAAAGAATACATGTCTTCTTTCCGGCATAAAAATGTTTTTTCTCGTTGGCGATTTTAACCTGCCTAGTATTAACTGGGAACGTCTTCAGGCAGATTTAAAGAAGGGTAGAAATGCCAACATTATTTTCGATCTTATGCTAGATCACGATTTAATTCAATCAGTTAATGAACCTACCCGTGTACAAGGTTTCTCTAGCAATATTCTTGACCTGCTATTTGTGAATCGTGATTTTTTGGAATGCGTCGTTTCAGTTGATGAAGGTCTGTCCGATCACAAGCTTGTAAATGTTTCCTTGCCCACACTCACGCATATTGTCTCTAAACGTACAAAAAAAAAACATTGCTTCAAAAACTTTGCTATAGTCGATGATGCAAGCATAATAGATTACATGGAAACGTGCCCTGGTGACTTCACTGATGCTGACAATGACGTATTCATGCTCTGGGAAATGTTTCTCAAAATGTGTCACCACTGCATAAATACATCTGTGCCTAACACAACAAAGACGGTCAACAAACAAACGCCGTGGATTGACGTGTAACATATTGCAACTGAAGCGCAAACTAAAAAAACAAAAACAAAAAGAAGGGTGACCCACTCCAACTTATCAGTGTTCTAAAAAGCCAATTGTCATCAGCGGTTCGAAGTTTAAAGGATTACTATTTCAACGTGCAGCTACCTCGTTTCATGAAAAGTGCACTCGAAACATTTTGGGATATTTAGGCGAAGCTAAGAGACCTGTCTGTGAGATAATGGTCGATGAAACCACTACAAAAGACGTGAATAAAATCGCCGAACACTTTAACACTTACTTCCACAGCGTTTTTTTTCCCAGACAGATTTGGGCAACGTGTTTCATTCTACTGTTTTTGAGGCGCACGAAGTGGACTTTATTTCATACAATGGTATTGCGTCAATGCTTTTAAACTTGAAGATAATGAAATCATGTGGCCCAGATGGTATCCCAAATATGTTTCTTAAGTGCTACGTGAAATTTATTGGTAGATTTCTTTTTATATTGTTCAAAGCTTCTTTGTTGTCTACTCAGGTGGACCGCTCGGGTAGTGCCAATTTTTAAAAAGGGCAATCGTTTATCTGTAGAAAACTACCGACCGATATCTTTAACTTCGTTCTGCTGTAAACTAATCGAGCATATCATCGCCAACCACATGACAAAATTTTTAGACAGAAATTCAGTGTTAACGAACTGACAGCATGGCTTTAGGAAAGGCCACTCCACTACGACACAACTGTTAACTGTAACTCATTGTTTTGCAAGAACATTGGATAATAATGGTCAAATCGACGCTCTTTTTTTAGACTTCAGCAAGGCGTTCGATAGAGTAGTTCACTGTAAACTTACACAAAAACCCAGAGATTACAATCTTCCTAGCATCATGGTATCCTGGATAGCAGCTTATCTTTCGGATCGCGTGCAGTCTGTCACTATTGAGGGCAACGACTCGAGCTGTCTTCCAGTGACATCCGGAGTACCCCAGGGTAGCGTCCTGGGGTCATTGTTGTTTTTGGTCTATATTGACACAATGTGACTTTAAATTACACGCGCTAGCAAATACTTGTGCCTTCTAGATGATTTGCGACGCACGAGCCTGCGGGACCCAGCTGCGCGCGAACTGTGTTGGAAAAAAGAAGAACGTAGAAGAAGAGGCAGAAGTGAATCCTCGAAACAATCTAGCTGTATTATTATTCTCGGGCACAAGTTCGCCCTACCTACGTTAGCCCATTAAAAGAGTTCATTGAAGAGTGCGTTACAATATAAATGACATTGTCAACGTTGTTACACCTGGCACACAAATCAGATTGTTTGCAGATGATTGCGTTTTATATCAGGAAATAACAACAGTGCATAACCAAACCGACCTCGAGATTAGTTTGCACAACATACAGGCGTGGTGCGACAGATCAGGCATGCCTTTGAACAAAGAAAAAACTGTCTGTCTTCGTATCACAAGGAAAAGAAAGCCCGTTAAAATACACCTACACACTGGCCCCCTCACCGCTAAAAGAAGTTGAAAACTTTAAATAACTGGAGGTAACATTTTCAAACGGCCTTTCGTGGAGTCTACATTTAGTAATATATGTTCCTCAGCTTTCCGTAAACTTTGTTTCCGGAAACACAAGCTTAAAAATTCACCCGCCCACATTAAACTACTGAGTTATATTACTTTCATTAGACCGAAGTTAGAGTATGCTTGCATTACATGGGATCCCTACAATAAACACAACAATAAAATAATAGAGAAAGTCCAGAGAAAAACTGTTCGCTTCATTTACTATAAGTTCAAGCACACCGATTCCCCCACACAGCTGATGACAGAAAATGACATCCCCCTTCTCGAAACACGTAGGCAGATTCTCCGCCTCAGTTTTCCACAATCACTCATTAAGCGTGAATTATCCATCGACCCCGCATTATATGTCACACCTCTGCCCACAAGGCGAACACGTCACGATCACAAACATGCTTTAACCACTCATTTCGCTAGGACGGATATTTACAAACACAGATTTTTTCCCAGGACAATGTCGGAGGGGAACTGTTGGCATGAAATGAATGACCTTTTATAAGGTTCCACAATACCCGCGTTGGGTGTTGTGTTTTGATTTTGTATGATTTTGTATGTCGCAGTGGAATTCTGGGCGTATAATGAATGGCCCTTTTTAAGTTACCACAATACACGCGTTAGGTGTTGTGTTTCCATTCGGTATGTTTTACTTCGTTTTACATATTTCTGTTGTAACTACAGTACTGCATTTTTTTATAGTCTGAGTGCCTTTACTAAGATGAGTGTAAAAATTTGCGCATTCCTTGTACTCACTGTATTGATATTTTGGTATTGTATTTCTTTTTTAGTATACTATAAGTGTCCTTCCTGCAAGGACCAAATTCTGGTCTGCAGTATGTTATAAATAAAATAAAAAAAACAAATGTAGCCACTATGGCCTCAAATTTTCAAAAAGTCCAGTTGCTACAACTAACAATCCCACACAGCTGGTGCATAATAAGAGTAGGTCACTGAAGTACTACTGCACTGAAAGAAAGTGAAAATAAAGAGAATTAAACAGCGAAAAAAAAAAGGAAACTGCGTCAAACAGTTGCTTGAGAGTTTCCAGAGGCTCGAAATAGGGCACTAAAGTAAACAATTTTATTCCAAGCTTACGCGCTGTCTGACACTTCTATTGTCGAATATTTTTGACTCAATTTTTTTTTATTGCCCAGTGTAACATGCGCCATTTGGTTGCTGCTCTTATGCTGCAGCGCTTCAAGTGAAACAGAGGCTGTAATGAGGACAAGGTGGATCCTGTTCTTTCTGCTCGTCGTTCCTGTATGGCAAGCCTGGAAGTGTTGGCCCTTTCTGACGCTGTGTGCCACCTATTTCGGCTCGACGTGCCTCGTGTTGCTAGCGAGTTTCTGGCTGGCGCAATTGATCTGGTGCAACGTCTTCATGAAGCTAGTCGAAGGTCATGGCAAGGCTGTCCTTGTAACAGGTAACGAAGTATACTATCTAAGACGAAATCCTTCTTATGGCGCAAGCTATTATGAGCTCACAACAGCCCATTTGTGTGGCTGAGCGCGCGCACACACCACACACACACACACACACACACACACACACACACACACACACACACACACACACACACACACACACACACACACCACACACACACACACACACACACACAGCACACACACACACACACACGCAGACATACACACACGCACACAAGCACACATACGTGCACACACACATAGTCTCTCTCACTTACATACACACTTAGACACACAAAGGCACACACGCACACAAATACGCACACACAAACACACACACACATTCAAAGACACGCTCAGACATACACTCACATCAACATGCTCAAACACACATACTATCTTTCTTTCTCTCTCTCACACACGCGCACACACACGCACACGCATGCACGCACACCAAAAGTGCTTTTGAGGTGACTGAGAGCCGATACTATATGCAAGCGTCGCAATGAAGGGTTCTATCATACATGCATGCCGGTGCTCGATACTTTATTCAACCGTGCTGTATGACGAGGAGGCACGCAAACAGATGTAGTAGTGCATAGAATAATAGTAGAATTGCGCCACCTGTCAGGACAGGTCCATGGCGTGACGAGTAAGGGTACCTGCGGGCGAGTTGGTAGCTTGAGGCGTCCTAGATCATCCGCCTGGAAGACGACTGCTTCAGTATGGCTTTTTTTTTCCACTGACGCAGAAAGAAATGATGTATCTTGACCCGTAACGCGAGATGTGCGATATGTGCGTCTTACTTCGGCATAACTGGTCATTTGAATCGTACTGTTTAAAAATATTTGTAATTCATTCTTGCGACCATTTTTTTGTAACCACGAAACGCTATTGCATAAAAACATTATGTGTCCGTCCGATAAACTCAGTTGAAAGTTGGCGCTTGTGTCCGTGTAGTCCCTCATGACAAGTGCTTGTCTTTTAAGCAGTGCACAATAACGTAACAATGACGAGTGAGTAGGCGCTAAAAAGAGCTCTGTCACAATTCATAACCTTCATAATCGCCCACTACAGAAGAAACAAAGTGTATTGGTGCGTAAGTCGGTGCGTTGCCTCAGAAACGCATAATGACTTATGAAACTATATTGAAAGACATATTGTCATAGTGCAGTGATTTATCGCCCCCGATGATATACTCGCTATTAAAGAAGGAACAGCACCTCTAGTTGACACTGAAACAGTTTCTGACCTTGTTTTTTGGTAATTATCTGACCCCCTTGATGATGCGTTTATATGCTTTGTCGTATACAGGGATGCGACACAGGCTTCGGAAACTTGCTGGCCAAGCGACTGGCCAGAGAAAAGTTCTTCGTGTATGCCGGCTGCCTGAACGCCTGTGGAGAAGGTGCTAGAGAACTGTCTACAAGTTCGAACATTCGGGTCCTACAAATGGATGTAACCAAAGAAGACGAAATGGAGGAAGCACTCACCACAGTGAAGAAGACTCTTGAGTCTAGAGGTAAACGAGAATTTCTCTACTTGCATCCTCGTGGCATATACAGAGGCGTAGTCGTTGCGACCGAACCAACATCAGCCTGCAATTTTCTGAGGCGTTCGTGTACTGATGGGATGAGTAATCGTCACGATGATTAGACATATTATAAGGTGCATTGTTATTTTAATTTAGGACATTTTCATGTGTTTGCAACGTATCACTTATGCTCGTACGATTCTGCGAAAACCTCATTTGATATAGTATTATTGATTATTTTGTTACATTGAGCGTTTTCTTTTTGTCGCAGTATTACTGCAGAACGAGGTTTTGCAGCCTTTTCACGTTTTATTGGTCCTGCTTTGTTACCCAACTCTTCATTGTGAGAAAACTGTGATTTCTATCTTCGACTCTCTCAAGAGCTAAGCAAAAGCGGACGCCTTATTCTTGCGCTATCTCCTAACATCATGTCAAGTATAAATAACTCGGGTAAGGCTTCGGGCTTACTTGTTATGCGTCAAGCTACTTCGCAATCACTGATCATGTTTTGTCACATGTCGCTGTACGCATCCCGTAACACAATAGTACGCAGGTTCCTTGCTTAACGCATTGTTTCAAAGAATGAATCTGCCGTGGAATTAAGTAAAAGTAAACCACAGACGAGTGGTTGATGGTGAAGGGCGAGAAATAGTTAATAAGCACATTGCTTTCATGGAGCCATAACATGCCCTATTACCGAACAGTTTGCTAGCACAGATGTCAAATATAAGGACTGGGCATAGGCTCATCATCAGCAGCCACCCCCTGGACTGATAAGGTCTCAAATTGGTAATAATGCAACAAGTTCCACTTTGTTGTCAAAGATTGCTATCAAGTTCTTGTCCTGCTTTGCCGAATACTTGGGTTATATAGCAGGTACGGAGCGAACATCATGATGCCACTGAATAGTCATGCGCCCTAAGAAGACTAAATCTTGCGGTCCATTAAGCTTTTGCCCTAGACGGCTGGAAAGCGGAAGGCATCTTAACTTCTCAGTCGACTTCATCCTCCCCTCCTCTCTTTCCTAAACTCTCTGCTCCCAACGTTTCAGGGGCGAAGCTCCTTACGCTATGGCTCAGTCCGTCCGTAGTTGTAGCCACCCCCGGCTGCTTTTCACAAGGTTCCCTAAATGGTGCTGCACTGTGACGGTACGTGAAATGATCACTAGACGGCGTGGAGGGGAGCTCTGCGAGTGTGATCGGAGAACAATTGTTAGAGACAGACAGACAGACAGACAGACAGACAGACAGACAGACAGACAGACAGACAGACAGACAGACAGACAGACAGACAGACAGACAGACAGACAGATGGACGGACGGACGGACGTACGGATGAACGGATGGACGGACGGACAGACCAAGCTTCGCCCCAATCATCATCATTCACTCCGTGGATATGCTGCCATTTTTTAGCACTGACCGCGGCATCGTATGCTTTGGAAGTTTTAGGCGCGTCACGTAATTTTGTAGATTATCTTGGATCGGCTCACTTTTTACCTTGTGATAATACCATGCGAAGACATCATGGGACATCGCAATTTTGCTGACCTGCAACGTCACAAGGACGTCTTAAGAAAACTTCATCACTTGATTAGATTTTTTGAATCACCCTAATTAGCACCTACTGTCACATTTAGCATTTGATGAGTCATCTAAGGATTTCTCACGTCGAGAGTTGTGCTGACATTAAAAACAACGGTTTTTTAAAATTAATTTGTAAATGTGATAACCGCCTCAATAAAACGTTCTTAAACGCCAAGGCCACTCGTCTTCCACAGTCCTTTGGGCTGTTGTTGCCAACGCAGGCGTGCCCAGTCACGGACTGCTCGAATGGGAGAGCATGCAATCGATCCGAAAGGTCTTCGAAGTCAACGTGTTTGGCGTGGTCAAAGTGTCGAAGATCTTCCTACCACTGCTAAGGAGGTCCAAAGGCCGCATGATTGTCGTCGGCAGCGTTTTGGGTGAGTTCAACATCGCGCGTAGATAAGTGAACCATGTTGAACCGGGTTTACTTCTATACACCGTTCAGCTATGATACTTTGCGTAGCCGAGTGGTTGCACTATTACTTTGTAGAACAAGCGTTTCATCAAGTAATTTCACACCATTGGAGTAATTTGGAACGCATAAAGTAATTTCGAGCCATTGAATGCATTAAAACACAAAGCTGGGTGTCACACCTGTCCCGTTTATTAGGGAGGCAATCGCTGGGCTAATTCCAAGGGTCGAAGTATCGGCCCCCCGAACCGCACCACGAAAGCGTGGACAATTTAGAAGTGGTCCTTATTGGTGCGCCAGCGGACGCCGGCTGTGGTCCAAAGAACAAGATAGAGCCGAGAGTTGATAACCAAACAAAATTATATTCTCATTAACGGCAGATCAAAAACAATACACACGTATGCACACTCCACAATAGTTAGATACAATACGTCACCAAACAGACAATGTACTACACAGTACAATCAACCACACTTGAAACAACGGACACAGACAACAATACGCACTACAATGCAGTCGCATGCATTGAACAACCAAGACACTTAAAGACTAAAGAGATATAAAACCTATTCAGTCCAAAGTCCTTGGAACAAAAGTCTGAATGATACTCTTCCGAGAATCACTCACTCAAAGTCCAGCGTTGTTGTCGTTCCGCAGCTCTCGAAGTGTCTCTTCCAGGAAACCTCGCCGGAGTTTCTCTTCCAGGAAAACTCCCGTCTTCAATAGGCCACTCTTCAAACTTCAACTTCTTCGCCGGAAATCCGTCGGCTTCACACACGCAGCTGTTGCCCGCGTCTTCGCTCGATAGCGGAAAACCTACGCTCTTGCCTGTAGCTCGAGCCGTCCCTACGGACCAAAACTTCGCCGACTACCCGGCGGAATCTCTACGCACTCTGGCGCTCACTTCCGTCTCCTCCTGTTCTGTCACTACGGGCAGAACCTTCGCCGACTACACGGCGGAATTCCTAAGCGCTCCGGCGCTAACGTTCCGTCTTCTCCTGTTCTGTCGTCTCGGCCGCTCGATTAAATACCTTCCGCGCCACCTTCCAGAAATTTCTGGTCATTTCGTCGGCGCGATACGCGGCGAAAGCTGGGAAGAGGGCGAGACAGTTAGAATGCCCTCTCCGGCCGGTGAGTCAACTCGGTATGGCCCCGCCCCCTTCGTTCTGGAAAAATCGCGGGCTTGCTGGGCCGCCGATGTGGGGTGAGGAGGTTCGTCTGCGGAGCCGTGCTTCTGCGGGGAGAGCGCGCGCCCGGGGGCCCTGGATGTTTGCTTTCTTTTTTTTTCTTTTTACCTCGCGGCGTTTCTGCCGCCCGTTGTCGCAAGGATTTGGCGGCGCGCTCTTGTTTAGCGCTCGTTCTGTGACACTGCCCCCCACTTTAAGAATATTATCTCATAATATTCAAAAACCACACAGACGAGCGCGCACAGTCACCACACATTCTCACAGACTGTAACACAATCCGTCGCTCATGACACTTCACATTCACAATATATCACTCAATACAATCGTACATTGTAGTTCAATTCCACAACACATGAAATATAGCCACAGGTACATGCCTACAACACTTCATCACACATTCTAAACAATACAACCGTACAAAGTTCTGTCTATCCAACAATTATACAACACCATACATCACACCATCGCACAGAACACTGACTCGCTCGACATACACTTGAGACACAGGATAACAAGAACAATAACACAACATATGGCACTCAGCACTGCCCAACACATTCTGATTCGACCTCAGCACTTATCCTGAATACTTCGAACAGCGCTTGCGCCCCTTTTTGCGGTGCTCGCTCGATCTCTTCTTGTGCTTCCACGTTCTTTTTCGGCGAGCCCTTTCCAACGACGATATCTGAGGCGTCGTCTCAGCCATCGTTGTCTCTTCCGACACCGTTAATGCGTCATTACATTCGACGGGTCCTGTCTGTTTATTTACCCGCTTGATAATGCCTCTACCTTTTGCCCGGCTGGCCAACTCCGTCTCCTTTACACTGTCGGTCGGTTGAGGTCGTGCCGACGTAAGTCCGGTTGCTCGGCCCGTGAACTTATTCGACACGATCGTCTTCTCCTTCGCTGTCTCTTGCGCCGCAGCTTCACCTTGGGCTCTAGTGAGATCCGTCACGGGATGCTCCTCCACTGTATCTCGCGGCCGCTGTGTTGGCGAGGGCTCTATCTTCGGGTCTTCTCCCAAACATTCTGGATCACTTGGCCCTCGCGCCCCGTCGATGTTTCCGATGACAAGGTCATACAGGGGGGTCGTCATGCATAACGCAGTAACCTTCCCGCTGAAGTACGGGGTTTCAACCTCAATTTCTGCTTCGGGAAGCATCCGGACCGTACGGTCAATTAGGCAAACCGGTTTCGTTCTGCCTGTCAACTCTCTTTCCCGTACCAAATTTCTCCTCACGATAACCGTGGAGCTACCGGTGTCTCTTAGAACCGTAATCTTCTTGCCTGCAATCTTTCCAGGAAGCGTTGGCATTCCCTTCGTAACACCGGTTGGCTGTTTTGACATTACAGCCCCCACAATAGGAATTTTCTCCCCATTCTTCAACTCTACGAATCCATCAGTGACGGCATTATTATCAGATTTCGGTGCTGCTTGCACACAGGATACCTGGTGAGTTTGACTCACTCCGTTCCGACATGCATCTGCTTTGTGCCCAGTCTGACCACACTTAAAACATTTTACTGCCGTAGGGCTCGTAAAGATCGTTCGACAATTTTTCGCGCGATGACCTACTCGGTTGCACAGAAAACATCGCTGCATGCTCTCTGGTGCACGCTTCTTTTCTTCAGGAGCCAATTTCTTCGAATCATCGGGACAATCCTTCTTGACCTTGGCCAAATTAGTTCCTCCTTGCGCTTCTAAGAATTGATCAGCCAATTCAAGCATTCCTTCAAATGACTCCGCCTTCCTCTCTTTCAAATACAGCGACAGGCTTGGGTGGCAACTAGTAAGAAACTGTTCTCTAATTAGGAGCTCTCTAAGTTCATCGTACTCCTGCGCTGTCCCTGAAAGTTCAATCCATCTGTCGAAATAATGGCAAAGTCGGGCGGCATACTGCGTAGCCGTCTCACCATCAGCTGGTTTTCCTGTCCGAAATCTGTCGCGGAATCCTTCCACAGTGAATCTAAATCGCTTCAACAAAGCAGCTTTCACCTTTGCATAGTTGGCTGCATCGGTCGGCGTCAGCCTACCGTACACACTGAGCGCTTCACCACTCAAGCAAGTACTCAAAGCAGTTGCCCATTGATGTTCCGGCCAATTCTGGCTCCTCGCAATCGTCTCAAATCTGTGAAGGTACGCGTCTAGGTCGTCCTTCCTTTCATCAAACGCTACGAGCAGCTTGCTTGGGTTCAAGCGGAAGCCGTGATCCTCTCGTTCGCTGCTTTCAACTCTAGCTTGGACCGGAGTTTCACTTCGCTGTTGCAAACGGAGCCGCTCGAGTTCCATCTCGTGCTGTCGCTGCCGTTCCCTTTCCTCTCTTTCTTCTTTCGCCCTCTCAGCTGCCAGTCTTTCTTTCTCCAGCTCCAACTTCAATTGCAGCTCTCTTTCTTCTTTCAGCTGTCGCTCTTTTGCTTCTCTTTCTTCTCTCGCCCTTTCAGCTGCCAACCTCTCTCTCTCCAACTCAGCTTCTTTTTCCGCTTTGGCTCTTTCGACCGCCAGCTTTTCCCTTTCCAGCTCAGCTGCCTTTTCCTCTTTGACCCTCTCTTTTTCTTCTTTTTCCCTCTGGGTGACCCACTTCCGTAGTTCGGCGCCGGAAAGACCCATCTTCTCACCAAGCGCAACTAACTTTTCGAGATCCATTGTGTCTCGCAACTCGCAATTGAAACCTTGCCGCGTGCAAAAAGTATCTGCCTAAATCGGTCTATCGGAACACTCCCCTGCACTCGTTAACGAGAACACTGAACAACACACAGAATCGTTCCGATAGCACTATCAACAACTCGAGGCTCTTTCTCACTACTTTGGACACACTGTGCACCAAGACGTCCTGTCGCGGACGCCAGATTAATTGTCACACCTGTCCCGTTTATTAGGGAGGCAATCGCCGGGCTAATTCCAAGGGTCGAAGTATCGGCCCCCCGAACCGCACCACGAAAGCGTGGACAATTTAGAAGTGGTCCTTATTGGTGCGCCAGCGGACGCCGGCTGTGGTCCAAAGAACAAGATAGAGCCGAGAGTTGATAACCAAACAAAATTATATTCTCATTAACGGCAGATCAAAAACAATATACACGTATGCACACTCCACAATAGTTAGATACAATACGTCACCAAACAGACAATGTACTACACAGTACAATCAACCACACTTGAAACAACGGACACAGACAACAATACGCACTACAATGCAGTCGCATGCATTGAACAACCAAGACACTTAAAGACTAAAGAGATATAAAACCTATTCAGTCCAAAGTCCTTGGAACAAAAGTCTGAATGATACTCTTCCGAGAATCACTCACTCAAAGTCCAGCGTTGTTGTCGTTCCGCAGCTCTCGAAGTGTCTCTTCCAGGAAACCTCGCCGGAGTTTCTCTTCCAGGAAAACTCCACGAACCTCCTCACCCCACATCGGCGGCCCAGCAAGCCCGCGATTTTTCCAGAACGAAGGGGGCGGGGCCATACCGAGTTGACTCACCGGCCGGAGAGGGCATTCTAACTGTCTCGCCCTCTTCCCAGCTTTCGCCGCGTATCGCGCCGACGAAATGACCAGAAATTTCTGGAAGGTGGCGCGGAAGGTATTTAATCGAGCGGCCGAGACGACAGAACAGGAGAAGACGGAACGTTAGCGCCGGAGCGCGTAGGAATTCCGCCGTGTAGTCGGCGAAGGTTCTGCCCGTAGTGACAGAACAGGAGGAGACGGAAGTGAGCGCCAGAGTGCGTAGAGATTCCGCCGGGTAGTCGGCGAAGTTTTGGTCCGTAGGGACGGCTCGAGCTACAGGCAAGAGCGTAGGTTTTCCGCTATCGAGCGAAGACGCGGGCAACAGCTGCGTGTGTGAAGCCGACGGATTTCCGGCGAAGAAGTTGAAGTTTGAAGAGTGGCCTATTGAAGACGGGAGTTTTCCTGGAAGAGAAACTCCGGCGAGGTTTCCTGGAAGAGACACTTCGAGAGCTGCGGAACGACAACAACGCTGGACTTTGAGTGAGTGATTCTCGGAAGAGTATCATTCAGACTTTTGTTCCAAGGACTTTGGACTGAATAGGTTTTATATCTCTTTAGTCTTTAAGTGTCTTGGTTGTTCAATGCATGCGACTGCATTGTAGTGCGTATTGTTGTCTGTGTCCGTTGTTTCAAGTGTGGTTGATTGTACTGTGTAGTACATTGTCTGTTTGGTGACGTATTGTATCTAACTATTGTGGAGTGTGCATACGTGTGTATTGTTTTTGATCTGCCGTTAATGAGAATATAATTTTGTTTGGTTATCAACTCTCGGCTCTATCTTGTTCTTTGGACCACAGCCGGCGTCCGCTGGCGCACCAATAAGGACCACTTCTAAATTGTCCACGCTTTCGTGGTGCGGTTCGGGGGGCCGATACTTCGACCCTTGGAATTAGCCCGGCGATTGCCTCCCTAATAAACGGGACAGGTGTGACACTGGGTCGCATACACTAAGCCTTCTTTATTCCTGGCTGGCTCACAGGTTGTAGCAACCTGCGTTATACAAGACAGTGTGATAGATTTCAGCGATAAAGTACCCGATAGTTACTAATGTTAAGCAGTTATGACGGTTAAGGCAGAAGTTTAAGAGAAAGTGGAGGCATAGAGAGATTAAAAAATCCTTGAATAAGGGGTGTCTCTTGAGTATTGTCTTCTCCAAGGCAGTTGTAATCCAGGTCAACATGAACCGTACACTCTCTTTTTTATTGCCGGCAGTCTATTCATGTCCTTTCCCTGCTATGCACGTCAATTGCGAGGGCTTGTAGGATTCGGTAGTATTGGCGTTATCCAAATCGGGACACTATCTGCAGGTCGAGGTACGGTTCCAGCTGGTGTGTCGTACTGTATGAGCAAGCACGCTGTCATCTCACTGGCAGATGGACTGCGTCGAGAGTGTCTTGGCAAAGGAGTTGACGTCTGCACCGTTGAACCAACTGCTTACAGGTGAATTCTGTTTAGCCCAATAATACTTCGACTTTGGGTTGTCGCTGCATGACTAAAACGAAGACAGCAGACGCAGATGGATACAGGCGAGCATCTGTCGGCCCTATTGTGTGTTTTTTTTGTCTCCCGTCTTTGTCTAAGCCGCGGTGCATTTAGCCGAGTAAGTTTAGCTGTCTCGCAGTCAGCATGCCAAATACTTAAACATGTGGTGTCATCATGTGGTGTCATCAAAAAACGCATCATTCATCCAAACTGTCGTCATAGAAATTACTTCTCGGGGGAAGCTGTCAATAAATGAGATAAGATGACTGGTAGGGGTGGCGAGTAAGAAAAGACTACAATGACGTGGAGGCACTTCGTGTTGAGAGGGAGTGCATACGAAGACATCGCCAAATCATTGTTCGTTTTGAATTGCCCGAGATAGTCCTTGGCTGACATAGGTTTAAAAATGTTGCCTGATCACTATTTACATTTTAGTACCCTAACTTCAGCACAGCTTGTAAAAGCTGTCTTTTACGTGCACTAAATGTTGTCACGAAATGACCACGAGACGTTCAAGATATCGTGTCTCAAATGGCTAACACAATGGTTTTCCGTAATAGAAATGTTAGAGAGGCCATTATTTCTTTGATACGCCTGAAATACGTTTAAGGAGTCGTTATATTACATTAGTGGTGGACGTATGTAGAGCGTTTCGATATATCCATCCGCTGATATTAGTTAGACGGCTGTTGTAAAGGAAGAGACCAACGTTGGCACACGTATTTCAACAGCGATAAAGGAAGCCCAAAGTCGCACACAGAGGTGGGGGGACAAAGCAGGAAACGCTCCCCCTCCCCCCAGACCCTACTACAAAGGTGACAAATCTGCTACAAGCCTTTACACCGTCTCCCCTGTCCCGTGATATTTAAAGCGGAAAGTTTAGATCTTGCTGGTTTTTGACGAGAACGACAATCGAGAATCCCTGATAATGCATTCCAAAAACGTTACTCCCCACTTTTACTCCAAGAAAATCCCGGGAATTTACAAGCAACAAGCTGTGAGAAGCACGCCATATCCCATTTTTCATTTATGCGTCTATTCAGAAGCTAATTTATTGTGCTGGATGAACTGTCGAATGGGGAGGCAGGCAGGAGGTGGTGCGGTGTATCATGATGAAAGTGTGACAGGGTGAAAATGTCACTTGGGAAACGGTGAAACCCTCCCGTCCTTTATTTTTTCTACTACCTTTGTTGGTTATTTCTTCTTACGCTATTAGGTGAGTTAAAAGTTTCAACGATCCCAACTTTTCCTTGAATCCCCACATCGTCAGAATGAAGAGATATGCATTTGCTTATGAACGAGTCTTTTGTGTTGAAACTGAAAACTGAGCCCCCTCCCAGATCTTGTTGTGGCCGGCGTAATGTTCTTATTTTGGTCTCCCATCTGACAGGACACAGATAGTGGCCGACGTGGGATCCTTGAAGATGATCCAGGATGACCTCAACCGACTACCCCGCGAGGTGTTGGACGACTACAGTGAACGTGAGATCCTGGACTGGATGAAGACTGCAGAGGCCCTGTTCAAGTGGATGGCACGAGAGGATCCCAACGAAGTAGTCGAGCAAATGGTGCGAGCCGTCAGGGAGTCCGAGCCAAGGCCGTACTACGCTGCCTGGGGTCCGTTCGATCCCGCTCTCTACTTCGTGCTTCGGGAAGCGCCCGCTGAGTTTGTGGACACCCTGAGTTTGGCTGTGCGCAAGATTAGCGGATGGAGTAAACAGCTTTAGGTATGCCTTGAACTGCTCGCGATTACTGTCGGCGTTTCGCGCGTTCTGTATGACACTCGTCATTCCAGGCCTTCGACCCGCAGTGGTGATCTAGTGGTTATGGCCATCAACAGATGGTCGAAGAATCGAATATCGACCGCCGCAGCCGCATTGCTATAGATACCACATGTTGATGCCCGTGCTTGCATTTAGACATTCCTTGAAGAACCCTACATGGTTGAAATTTTCGTAACTCTTCACTATGGCGTCGCTCATAATCGTATTGTGCTTTTGCGACGTAAAATATCAACAACTAGCATTGTCTTAAGAATCTTCAGAGCGCGAACTAAGACAGAGACAAAAGAGGCAGAGAATGACACCACCTCGTATTCTAGAACCTCTTTCGTCATATTGGTGGGACTGATTCAATGCTTAATATAGACAGATGGAAGCTGGAACGCTGGCCACTGTGGCATTTCCTTGGCTTGAGAGCATTTATTTGATGTTCCTGGTAGTCTTTACAAGAGTTTTACATGTCCTCGTCTCATGTCAACTTCAGCTTGAGTGGAAAGTTGACCTCGGCTCGAAATTGAACAAGAAGGTAACATACACTACCGCGTGCCCCATAGCTCGAGGCACATGGGCTGCTCGTCACATTTTCATTGCAATATTCGCATGGCTAAAAAAAAACAACACTAACTCTCTATACATCAACTCTGTGGTCCTCCACTAATCGAGGGCCCGTCCAACTGTGTGGTAAATGGAGGCTCCCCATTTGACACATGTGTCGAGTGCAACTGCAACGACAGCTCCTGTACAAAGGGTAGCATAATAAGCTAACAACTAGAAGAATACAATGCTATTGAATAGTCTTTTATTGAATGTTTCTTTAGTACCAAAAGCAGCGGGCCTCTAGCTGGTATCCCGGTTCACACACAGCTCTGTCCTCGTCTCAGATTTATTAGAAGAATATTTGCTACGCTTTTGAACAGCGCAAACGTGACTTTGCTAATGCATCTCCCCTTGCAGTTTTAGCCACAACACATAGCGACTGCAACATGGCTACGTATTGTCGCATAAAAATTGGTTAGCTATTCTCGTTCGAACTGTTGGCCTTTTTCCGGTCATGGGCCTGTCAAACAGCGGTGTTCGTGACGGCGCCTTCGAGTTTTTCGCCGGCTTTGTTGTGGGGCAGTGTTGTTTTTCTTCAAGCGACATGCTTTTCCACCGTTTTGGGGGACCCAGGCGGCTCTGTATCTGCTAGGCCTTAGTGTATGTGGGGTAAACTGCATGGTGGAAAAGCTAATCGATGTTGGGTAGATTACTTTGGGTTTTTTACTTAAATTCAGATCATCATCCTTATGGCGGACGGCCTGTCATCCAGTTCGAACTCGGTGATGGCCTACCCACGATCAGGTGTCCGTATACTTGAACCCGCGTTACGCGATTGGCTTTGTCACAACGGGGACTTCCAATTGGTTCTTTCTGTTTCGCTCTGGCGTGGTGTCGGGAGCTTCCAAAGGGGCCCGAGGAGAGTCGCGCCGGACACACCAAGAGAGCAGGTTGCAGCGAGTGCTGCCTACGTTTGTAAGGAAGTTAGGTCGTGTGCAAGTGTGTGAAAGCGTCTACTTAGAGGAACTTAAGCCAAATAAATCGAAACAGGAGAATTCCTGGAGACCTGTGGTGTGTTTGTGTAATCTCGTCAGTGGTGATCAAGCAGCAACAAGAACACTATACTGCTACAGCATCAACAATACGTAACCGTGAAACGAAATTCACAGACGGCATCCAGGTTTTAATAATAAGAAAATGCTTTTAGAAATGATTCATATATGAGATACGAAAAAGGCCTTTCAAATAACAATATGTAGGCCACATTTTCTTAATAGGCACTCCCCCTTCCATCTTGTATTATTTTTTTTCACGGTCCTGGCGCTTGCAGAAATAAAAGTTTCGTAACAGGGGCCCGATATTTGAGGTGAGTTTGAGAACACTGACGTAACCAGGCGCCGAACTTGAGTAGCGCTAGAAGCAGTCGCTGCACCGCCCTTGTCCCCCTCGCATCTGCGGGTAATCTGATACGGCGCGCGGCTTCCCCGAGCGACATGCAGTCGATAGGGGCCTGCGTAGAGCGTAAACATCGTGAGACTGCTCGTACACTCGACACAGCGTCTTGTCTGCATAGCAGATACGAAGATACGCAGCTGTGTTCCCGCAATAGCGCGGCTACTTTTTTTTAGCCTTTCGAGTGTCTCCCAGTCTTGTTGAGAACGGCCGACCACGCGGGAACTCCGCTCTGCGTGAATGTGAACTATGTGCGTATGAAAGTGGTTGATTTCTTGAAAGTGGTTGATTGTGAACTATGTGCGTATGAAAGTGGTTGATTTCTTGAAAGTGGTTGTATGTGAACTATGTGCGTATTAAGGGGTTGATTTCACGTGTAGCCTGTCAAGCGTTCCAACGCAGTTTCTTGGTTCAAGCATCTCACTTCAACGAGTGGGTACACAGTAAGTAACAAATATGCTTCGGGTTGTTTGTAACCTTGCGGATACGATTCCGCATAGTACGCTTTCCGGCCTGATCCATCTTTATTTTGATTACCGAGCAACGTCTTTTGGATATCCAATAAGGCATTTTTAGGCGTTTAGTGCGATCACAGCATTTCCGATGGAGGCGGAAATGTTCTAGGCCCGTGTGCTCAGATTTGGGTGCACGTTGAAGAACCCCGGGTGGTCTAAATTTCCGGAGCCCTCCACTACGGCGTCTCTCATAATCATATAGTGGTTTTGGGACGTTAAACCCCACATATCAATCAGTGCTGATCACAGTTTTGATCATAGTTAGATGATACAATAGCGGAAGTACCTCTTGATCAGTCCATCTAGAAACACTACGCTTATTTTTCAGTACACTAGCTTAAAACACGTCCTAACAAGCCACGATCTGCATGTTGCTTGAAGAGCCGCTGAAGCCGCAGAAGTGTCGGTTTTTCGGCAAAACAAACACGTTCAGTGGCAAGGCTCGCACTACAATACTTAAACACACTTAGTACCTTCATCCTGTTGGTCAAGTCGTGTGAGAAAACAGCCGCTTGTTTTCTTTTTACGTTTCAAAAAACTTTCTCCTAGACACCAAAAAGAAAAAAAATTGCGGCGCAAATTTTAAGTTTCAAGTTTATTATTTGCAAAAACAAGTTACAAAATCTAGGATATACAAACGAGGGTCCCAGAGCTAGAGACTTTAGTGGGACCCTCGGTTTGTCGATACAAAATGACGGTAAAATTTATGCAGAGCAACAGAAAATTCTTACAATATACGGACATCAATATACACTTTTACATCACAAATCAAGCCCAAACACGCAACATGGTATAAAAAGAACCGAAGAACAAACGAGTCAAACAGGTAAACGATCGCAAGTATGGTTATTCGAGAAAATGATTTTTGACGGACTTTTTGAACAAAGGAAATGAAGTGCAACGCTTAATGCTACAAGGCAACGCATTCCAAAAGGATATCGCACTGAAAGCGGAAGTTTTTTTTGCCCATAATTAGTATGAGCGGGGGGGGGGGGGGGTAACAAGAAATTTTCATCAGCCGCAAACCTGGTCGCATTATTATTCTGCAAAAGATCAGATGCAATAAATGGGAATGCCAGTTGATTATTGCCCAGATACTTGCATTTTCTTGAATAAGAGTAAGTTTTTGAGGGAGTACACATATTTTCCTCTTTTTTAAAGGTGTTCGGTTAGTGCGATCATCGCCTAATAGGTATTGATTCCCGGCTCCCGTTAGTAACATTTTTCATTTATATTTGGCAAAATATGGGAAGGTGGGTTACGTTAGAGACGACTATCCCAACATCATGACAGTAACGTGCAAGATGGACACACAAACAAAAAAAACAAGAATAAAAGAGGAAAAAAAGGAACTTATGAACGAGATTCCACTGCAGTTTGTATTGTGGATCATAACAGCAGGAGAACAGAAGTGCTCTCGTAAGGTCTCGATATGATATGGTTCTGTTTCTCACCAGCAGCCTTACGTGTTATTTTCAAGCGAATATTTTAGAACTCGCTGATTCATTCTATTGGTGGCATTGTACACGAAAAATCTGGCGCCAGTGAGGGTACGGAAATGATGACCGCAAAAGTGCACCACTCATGTGCGTAATCACATGCATCATTTTCCAATAATCAATGCTTTTTCTAGAGTGAGCTGGTCGGGAAGCAGTGCTTCCTGATGTGGCAATCGATCTTGTTACTTGTTGAGACGTATAGCGCTCGACGTGTGCGTTTTTTGTTGCGGCTTTCTTTGAGAAACATCAATATCTATAGGCAATATATTAGTAGATATAAACTTGTCAGCACTCTCCTTCTTGGGTGATTTTCGGCGCGAACAGCAATCTATTACCTCAGAGTCAGCATATTTCTACCTTGAAGTATTTCGTATAATCTTTATTGGTGTCTCACACTTGATTCGACTGACGCAATGGTTGTATACCGTGAGCACAAGGGGAGACAAGGCTATGCCCCGACTCCTGAGGAGCTTCGACCCTTAAGGAAAGAAAGAAAGAAAGAAACAAAGAAAAAAAAACCAGTACCTCGGGTGCGCACATACTAAGGTTGGTTTTTTTTTTCATATGGTAAGGTTTCCTAAAATATTTTTTTCACTGAGCTTCAAAAAGTCTCCAATTGTCTCCAAAAAGTAAACCTCTCCAAAAGTTTCTAAAAGTCTCCGATTGGGTCGTTGAAACATGGCGCACGTGTTTGGGAAGCAGGTCACAAACTCGAACGCTGAAGCATTGACGTAATCGCGGGCTCGAGACATTGGCATCACGGGCAATGAAAGTGACAGAGAATGCTCGAATGACGTTGTGATTTTTCTTATGTGCTGTTTTCCCTCCCTTCATGTGTTCTACAAGAGTTTATTGAATAGTGTACCTTTGTGTTTCTGTACCGAAGGCTCACGTGCATCTTTCAAGTTGCCCGTCAACGTTCCCGCACCGTTACTTTTGCTGCCTCATTTTTTCTTCGTGCAGCAAAAGACTGGAATGACCTCCCCCACAATATTACAACAATCACCTGTCCATCAACATTTATGCATAGCGTCACAAGCCATTTTTCAAGCTAATTCATGGCTTTTTTGTACGTTTTTTGTAACCCTACCCCTTATGTAATGTCCCCCTGGGGACCTTTAAGGTAATAAAATGAAATGAAATGAAATGAATTTCCGTAGGCTGCATCTATATTACAAGGTATTGTGCACGAGCTAATTGGGTTACAGTGGTGGTCACCATAGATAAGGCCGGAAGGAAGTGGCTTACTAAAGATCTGTCTGCTGCGGTGGAGCCGTAGTTGAGATACTCGGCCGCTGAGCCAAAGTTAGCGGGTTCAATGCTGGCCGCGGGTGTCGCTCTCCAATGACGCCGAAATGATAGAGTCCCATGTACTGTGGGATGTCTGTGCACGTTAAAGAACAGCAAATGGTCGAAATTTTTGGAGCCCTCCACTACGGCGTCTCTCGTGATCACATCCTTATTTTGGGACCTTAAACACCATATAGTAAGATCCGGCGTTCATGTATTCTCGGGCTAAAGACCATAGGCAGCGGATGCCACAGTTAAAGTACCTCTAAACCACTCCCATTTCAGAGACGATAAAATGGTTTCCTTATTGCTT